CCCCATTTTGGGTGGGCTTTTACTTTCCCCCCCTTTCTCCTATCTCGGGTGGGTTTGCCCCCGTTCTTGCCGAGTTTTTTTCAGATTTTTTTTCCTCCCGTTTTACCCAAATCCGGATCATTTTTTCCCCATTTCCTCCCCCTCAGGAAAAGCTTTGTGCCCCCCGCCCTGTCCGAAGGCTTCTCCCAAATCCTCCAGGTCCCCTTCGTGCCCCATTTTGGGAACCCCCCAGACCCCCAACGAAGGCGCCTCTTTTTCCAATTCAGCGATGGATGAAGACCCCCAAGGAGCCCCCAAATAAAGGCACTGCCCCCCCCCACCCCCCCAATTTTTTTGGGGATTTTTTTTTTGGCTCTAAATCAGATTTATTGTACAAAGGGGGGGAGGGGAATGGGGGGGGAGGGGTCACGGCGTTTCCATGGATTCACCCTCTGTGGAGAGAAGGGGGGAGGGGCTGGGTCAGGGACCCCCAAATTCCCCCCATTTCACCCCTTTGCTCCCAATTTTTAACCATTTTCACCCATTTTAGCCAATTCCCTCCCATTTTTGCCCAATTTCCTCCCATTTTAGCCAATTTCCTCCTATTTTTGCCCAATTTCCTCCCATTTTTACCCAATTCCATCCCATTTTCAGGGGTTTTTTTTTGTCCCAATTCCTTAATTTTTACTTAATTTCGCCAATTTTTACCTGATTTCTTCCCTTTCACCCAACTTAGACCCTGGTTTTTTTTTTCCCAATTTCTCCCCTTTTAACCCAAGTTTTGGCCATTTTTTTTTTTTTTACCCAACTTTCTCCCCTTTCTCACATTTCTTTATTTAGCATTCCAATTTCCCTGATTTTTAACCCATTCTTACCTTCCCCTACATTTTCCCCAATTCCTTAACTTCTCTCTCTTTCCCCCTCATGTACCCAATTTCCCCATTTTTTACCTCATTTCTCCCATTTTGTCACATTGGGCACATTTTTCCCTCTACTTTTTCCATTTTTGCCCTTTTAATCCTTTTTTTGCCTGATTTTTTTACCATTTTTCCTGCCATTTTACCCAATTCTCTTTAATTTTCCTTCATTTCATTTATTTCCACCCCCCATCCTTTAATTTTTGGCCATTAAGCCAAATTTTGTTTCAATTTTTACACCTCCCTGCTCGCCCTCCATTTTGCCCTGTGTTACCCACCCCGTTTTGGACACTCCCAGGTGTGTCCCCAGGTGTGTCCCCAGCATCCTCCCAGTGTCCCCAGGTATCCCTTAGTGTCTTCAGGTGCCCCAGCTGTCCCCCAGGTGTGTCCCCCATGTCCCCAGGTGTCCCCCAGCTGTCCTTAGGTGCCTCAGGTGTGTCCCCAGGTATGTCCCCAGCGCCCCCCAAGTGTGTCCTCAGGTGTCCCCAAGTGTCCCCCTAGGTGTCCCTCAGGTGTGTCCTCAGTGTTCCCAGGTATGTCCCCAGCTGTCCCCACATGTTCCCCCAATGTCCCTAGGTGTCCTCCAGGTGTGTCCCCAGTGTCCCCAGGTGTATCCCCAGCTGTCCCCCAAGTGTCCCCAGGTGTCCCCATTGTTCCCCCGGGTGCCTCAGGTGTGTCCCCAGTGTCCCCAGCTGTCCCTAGGTGTGTCCCAGGTGTGTCCCCAATGTCCCCAGCTGTCCCTAGGTGTCCCCCAGTGTTCCCAGGTGTCCCCTAGGTGTTCCCCCAATGTCCCCAGTGTTCCCCCAGGTTCCCC